TATTATTGATATCAAGTTGATACCGGTTACATCTGGCCTTTACAACATCACACTGTCACGAACATTGGATCCTCAAACCAAAGAGCTCAAGAAGTTGATTGCCCTTTTGCTACACTGCTCTGTTATTTTGCCACCACCCACGACTATAGAATATGTTCTGATATTGGTTGGTGGGTTCTTCATCCTACTAGCCTTAAAGCACAAATCCGCATAGGAGTATGCCCTTATTATGCGAGTATGAAACTGCCGAAATGATTCTGTTTTTAATCTAACGGAAGTTCCATAATGTTTGCAGGTAATATATCGAGTCACTACTAGTTGGATTGTTCCATGGTCCTTCAGCTTGCAGAGGGTACTGAAGTGCACGGCTTTGGGAGATGGTCGCCTAGGCTATGTTCAACCATTTTGGATGGGGGTTCATTAATAAGATTGTAGAAACATGAGTATTTGTTTTCGGTTGGCTTTTTTGGCCCCTGTTTACTTGCATTGAATGTTGAAAATGTCGAGGTGATATAATGACTGTATGCAGAGGCCTGAGGTTTTTCTCTCCCTTTGGGAAAAGACACAACAGCGGCATGGAGGAAGCACATAGTCAATTTATTGATACTTTGATAGGGGGAAAAAGAGAGAGAAAAAAGATATGTTACCAAACTACCAATGCGATCAACGGCAACAAAAGCATCACAGCACCTTTCTGAATCTAACCATTGCAAACGGGAAGTTTATCCGATTTGGATTATCAATAGCCGTGGGAAGACAGCATGCTGGTTGAGCAATATGAGTGGTTTTTTGAAAGACAAGCAATATGAGTGGCGGGTAGTAAACAAAACAATTGTAAAGAGAGCAACGCTGACTGTGCTTGTACCACAAAGCCACGGAAATGATTCCTGTCACATCCCGGGGGCCATGTAAACGGGACATATCTTTTGCACACTTGCGCACTAGTACCACCAACTGCGGCAGATTCAGCTCGGGACCATGAGAGCATATGCGCGCTGCCGACCTGTCGTACTCAAGTTATTGACACGAATTCGAGAATTGTGAAGTATCCGATGTATACGCCTCCAATTGAGAAAAGTGCACATTTGGTCCTCAAGCTTCTTTTTTTAGGCAAAAGGCCTACGGCCCGGCGTTACATTAATAACGCCCTACAGACAAGAACAACGCCAGACGAAAGACAGGAAAACGAAATGAAAAAAGAGATATGCAGGATGCACGGTGTTGCATGACAGCAACACAACCCGGATTACACCAAGCAAACAACAAATGAAACAATGGAGCAAGTCCTGGAGTCATCAGAGCCCTCATCCGTGATCAGGCGCCTGGAGCAGAGAAAGAGGCCATCATATCCGGTACGGGAGGCAATGTCTTCACCATCCCTGGGAGTCCAAGCACAACCTACCATCACCATCCAATCCCATCGTCGAAAGGAGCCCCCAGCCCCCAGCCCCCTCGCCTTGGATCGAAAGGCGTTGTATCAATCTAACGATGAGGATGCTTCTCATGAGCCTGAGTGGTGGGACCCCAGCGGGAGGTCTCTGAGCACAAGTACCTCATCACGCCTAGCTCATCGTGCGAGAATCACCGTCAAAGCCACAGAACCATCATAACGAAGAGAAGCTGTTGAGAAGTTCCTCACGGGACCTTCACAACCCACCAACACTCCCACTACTAGGGAAAACCTTATACGTGGAGTCTTATCAGTAGCGCGGCTATGTTCAATGCGCTACTGCTACCTTACAGTAGCACGGGGACACGAAAGGCCCTACTGCTATATCCTTAGCAGTAGTGCGGCCCTGCCCAAATGTGCTACGGGTATGAGGACCACACCTTAGCCAACAGGCTACGTATAGTAGCAGCACGGCCCCAGGGCGCCACGCTACTGCTAAAAATATAGCAGTAGCGTGTTTTCCAGGAACACCGCTGCAACTAAGTTTTTGTTGTGCCACATGGCGGGCCCCACTTTGCAGCAGTGCGGCTAGGAGGACCGCGCTACCGCTAGCTATTTAGCAGCAACGCTGTTTCCCCACCAGCCCTGCTGCTAAGACGCAACAGACACCTTTTCTATCCCTTTTCTATCCCTCTTCCCTCCCTCCTCTCTTCCTTCACTCCTCCCTCCTCTCTCCCTCACTTTGCTTCTTCCTCACTACTTCTTTCCCCCCATTATCCTCTTTCTTCTATCTCTCTTTAATGCCCCTAACTAACTACACTACCTCCATTAATGCAACCCCTTTCTATTTTTCCTCACTTTTCCTCCCCCTCCACTACTTAGAGCCATCTCCTTCCCCAACTAGCTAGGTAGATCTACCCATTTAATGAAGTGACCTATCTACCTCCCTAACTAGATCTAGCCATGTCAAGAAGTAATCTTTGTCCACTCTTGATCATTAGATACGTGTGTGGCGACACCGATCGACCTCATCACCGTGCTCGATCTCTATCTGGAGATAGGTGAGTAAAAATTTGTGCTTTGCAAGAATGGAAATATGTGTGTGCGCGCGCGATATGATGTAAATTGTGCGTCTGGCATGAGTTGCCGCCGAATTGTGCTTGAGTTGCCTATGTTTTGCCGAAATGTCATCTGTTTTGGCGAATTTCAGGCAAACTCTATATGTCCTATTTTTAGGGAAGGTCATGCCGAATTTTTGTATGACTTTGATGCATGCATGCATTTTTAGAATCAATTTGCTTATTATTACCGTGCAGGCGATCATGATGGTCAGTGGAATGATGGTGGAAAAATGGTTGCGGTCGGCGGTGCAGGACATGTATGAAAAAAATCGGGCAGATATTTATGTTCGTGTCGAAGATGCAAAGGAGGAGTGTGGCTCGACCCCTTTAAGGATGGTCGTTTGAAGGCACACATGCTCATGACTAGTTTCATGGAGGGCTATACACGGTGGATAAGTGAATATGATGATGATCAAGACGTTGATGGGGCAGCCAATGATGACACAGGGCCAAATGAAGAGATGACCGATAATAGCAGCGGAGAAGGGGACGGACATGGCGGCGACGAAAATGCCGGAAATGGCGGCGGAGAAGACGTGGACACGCTGCAACCTTCGTCGCTAGTGAGTCCAATCGTGCGGGACCCTCATGTTCGAGACCTGCTTCGCAAGAAGACGAGTAGCGACAGAGCTGCTTCTAGAGAGGAGGCCAAGCTGGAGCAACTGGAGATAGACTCGAACACTCCATTGTATGATGGTTGCGATCCTGAGGTGGCCCGCTTGAGTTTCATGCTTGAACTTCTAAAGACGAAGGCTAAAAACAAATGGACCGACAGAAGCCTCGATGAGCTTCTCAAGTACCTAAAGAAGGTTCTTCCTGCGGGGAATCTATGTCCTACTAGTGTGGATAAGGCCAAGAAGATCATGTGCCCTCTTGATCTGCCGCACATTAGATACCATGCATGCATCAACAATGGCGTCATTTATTGGAGGGAGCACGCGGAAAAAACCAGCTATCCAGTGTGCAATGCGTCTTGATACAAGAAGGCCGGAACTAAATCTCCCTAGAAAGTTGTATGGTACTTACTGATCACTCCCCGTATGCAACATTATTTCATAGATCCTAAGGAAGCAAAGCTCATGTGTTGGCACACAAAGAGAAAAAAGCCCGACAATGGAGATGATCTGATGCTGAGACACCTTGCAGATGCAAGCCAGTGGAGAGCGTTCGTCGAATATCGATATTTCACAGGTGATGCAAGGAACATCGTGCTTGGCGCTAGTACCGATGGCATGAATTTGTTTGGCAACCAGAACACCAACCATAACACATGGCCCGTGTTTGTATGGATGTACAACCTCCCTCCCCCGGTTGTGCATGAAGTCAAAGTACATACACGTGAGCATGCTGATTCAAGGACTGAAACAACCGAGAAATAATATTAATCTGTATCTGGGGCTACTTCAAGGGGAGTTAGACACGTTATGGGAAACACCAACCAAGACATGGGCCGCCAGCAAAGGCGAGTATTTATATATGAGAGCCGCGTTGATGACGACGGTGCACGACTATCTCAGTTATGGATATGTCGCAGGCCAGGTGTGCCACGGATATTGTGGATGCATGCGGTGCATGGATGATACAACGTCTCAGTAGCTAACAAAAGATGGCGGGTCTGGAAAAATCGTGTACATGGGGCATCGAAGATGGCTCGTGAAGGATGACCCGTCGAGATACCTTGGAGATCTATTCAATGGTGAGGCTGAGCATCGAGGACCTCCATGTAAGCGGAGCGGTGCTGAAATCGATGAGCTGTTGAAAAACTGGGAATGGTGCCCCGTGCTGGGAAAGGTGAAAAATGCACCGGAGCTGTTGCTGAAGGTATGGAAAAGGAGGTCTGTTTTCTGGGACTTGGAGTACTCGCCAAAACTCGAAAGGCCTCATTGCCTTGATCAAATGCATACCACAAAGAAT